CGCCCGTCAGGTCCCTCAACTTAGCTTTCTTCTTAGTGACAAATGTCTGTTGGTAGATGCACCTTTAGCACAGCAGATACGTAAAATATTTGAAATTTTGGGTTTTATGTAGAGTTAAGACATTTTTCATATTTTGGATACAGAGCCATTTCAGTTCTATGAATGAAATGGTGACCGTTTTCCAAAACGGCCTTTAATGAGTTTTATAGTTTCAGAAGTAACATTTACTCTCAACATAAATCACGATTATATCCACATTGAAATTTCTCTGAGATGTTTTGTCTTTTATTAATGTTCTGGTGTTGATCCATACATGAATGAAGAAGCTAAATCCGAATATTTCTGCAAGTAGTAGATGCTGCTAAGCAAGAGTATACGAAAGTGTAAGCATTTTTGCACGTAGCAAATGCTGTTAAGCGAAGATACACGATGTCAGTATGCACAGTTGATATATGATGTATTACTGAGAGTGGCGGCAGCTGAGTGGTCAACATTACTGAATTAATGATTGCATTTAGTGTCAGGAAAAGCTTTCGTTTTTTGACAGCTCATGAAATACTAAATATGGTGGGATCAAAGGCTAGCCTCGCCTATGTTTCATGCACTTACTGGATGCGATACCGTGTCTTCCTCTGCTGACAGAGGCATGATAACAGTGGTATTCTTTGCTTTAGCTCTTTCTCCTGACACCATAGAACCCAGTCTAAAGGCTTTACGGCAGTTCGTTGTAGTACTGTAAGACAACACCAAATACCATACGTTAGTCTGGTCCGCAACCAGCTGTTGATCAAAAAAAAAAAAAAGTAGCACTTATGGAATTCCCTCGAACTCAGCACTGATTCAGAGCACCAAGCTGGCTACAGCTGGTACCAGATGGTCGCAATCCTAAACTTCCTTCCCCTCAAGATAGGTGGTGGGAAACTCCGCTGGTCTGAGCTTCCGGAAGCAATCAGATCTTGTCTAGAAGTACTACGCTAAAAAACTTCGAAAAAAAAAATATGGAAAACAGCAAAAGAAACCTCAGAGTGAGTTGCTTTGTGCAGCTGTGAAGAACTTTGTAAATAACACAAAGATAAATTTTGAACTTTGTGAATAACACAAAGATAAATTTTGAACTTTGTGAATAACACAGAGATAAATTTTGAACTTTGTGAATAACACAAAGATAAATTTTGTGAGGTTTGAAGATGTGTTCTCTTTGGTCTTTAACATTGTGTGTACCATATTTTCTTGCCACTAAAATAATGAGTAAATGTTAGATTTAAGTTTGCTGAACAATGTGAACAACATTAATGTTCTAAAACAGTAATCTCATAAAAGTAGAAAGCAAATGTTTTGAAAAATGGCCGCCATCGATGCCATGGAACAAGTCTGTCTCGGGTCTATTTGCAAATATTTTAAGTTTGTACCACCTGTGCAAAATTTCAGTTTTGCACAAGTGATACAAATACTGTATTGAGTTATGTGCTGTGCTGGTACATAGTTATGTGCTCGGCTGGTATATACATAGTTATGTGCTGGGCTGGTACATAGTTATGTGCTGGGCTGGTACATAGTTATGTGCTGGGCTGGTACATACATAGTTATGTGCTCGGCTGGTATATACATAGTTATGTGCTCGGCTGGTATATACATAGTTATGTGC